CCTTGGCATCAGCTTCACTCGCTCCTTTCCCCCTCCCCCCTTTGGGACCGCGTCCTGGCACAAGTGCGTGAGGACAGCGCGTCCAGGAACACACACGGGTGCGGATGCACATGGGGGCATGGGGGCCAGAAACCAGTGCGACATGTTTCCTCCCCGGTCAACTCACACAGCGCTACGACACACACATAACAGAATAAACAAACCGAGTATACGCGATGCGAAAGTCAACGTCAAAGCCAGCTGTTTTTTGGTTGGCTTCTTAAGACAACGTTTCAGATGTGTTGCATCTTACTACATATAATCAGCGAGGACTCATTTCTTCTTTTCCGACGAACGTTCATTCGTTCCCTGTTCCCGCCCCAGGCACATCCCTCGCCCCAACCGAGGCCTCCCCTTCATCCCTTCATCCCGACCTCCTCTTATAAATGCCTCTGCAGCAGGCTCCTCCCTCCTCCCTCTACTCATCTACGCAGCCTTGCCGACAACCTCCGTGGCATGAAGTCCTCCTCCTCCTCCTCCATCTAGCCAGGTCTAATCTTCACAACGGTCGCTCAGCGTTGGGTGGCGCCAGTGGTGACAGCTTCACATCTCTCACCGGCCGGGGGGGGCTGAGGGAGCCGTCCGCCGCTCTGTCCACCACCACCAAGCTCTGAGAGGGTTGTTGCCCCCCGCGCGATGGGGGGAGGGGGCGAAAGAAGCGTAAAATGGGGGAACGAGGGAGACAAAAACCTGGGAATGATGCAAGAAGCAAGAATCCACTGTCTCAACGTCCCAAGCACCAAACTGGGGCTGGGGGAGGAGGGGGGAAGAGCAGCTCCGCCCAGTGGGTCGTCCCCTGACGCCCAGCAACGTACGGCACGGAGGAGAGGGGCTTCGCGGCACGAGTACAATATTTGTAGAGGAAGGGCGGGCTCGGAAAGCTTAACACACACCCCTCTACCGGCTCCAGGGCTGCCGCTAGCAGCACAGGTCCCGCCGCCTCCGCTCCTCCTCCTCCACTTCCCCATGCTCCATTCGGCATCCCAGCACCCCACCCATCCAACCCCGCACCCATCCAACCCCAGATACTCATTCGAATCCACCACCCACTTCTATCCGTATGTGACCATCCGCCTACACGCCGCATGTACGTCCGCGTGTTCCCCCTGTACCAATCCAAGCCCCCCTCCCCGTACCTGCATGCCCACCGGTGGCCCCACTGGCAGCACCAGCCGACCCGCGGGTCGCAATAGGGCGGTCAAGCTGGGGAGCACCTCACGTGCGGTTGCGCCCACGTGGATGACGTCATAGGGCCCAGCTGCTGACACCGCCTCGAGCGCCGAATCTTTGACAGCAAGTGGGTTTCAGGGGGTCCAGACGGTTGTGGGGGTTGAGAGGGCGGTGGAAAGAGGGGAGGGGGGAGAAAGAGAAAGAGAGAGAGAGAGAGAGAGAGAGAGAAAGAGAGAGAGAGAGAAAGAGAGAGAGAGAGAGAGAGAGAAAGGGGGGAGAGGGGAGAAATGGGAAGATGAGGATGCTGGCGGTCGCCATCCTGGGGGTTTCGTGGGGGAGGGGCAGGGCGATCAGGCGCGGTAGGAGTAGTGGGGTCGTGTGCGGGACCTTAGCTCGCTCACCGTACCTTCCTCAACGTACCTTCCAATACATTGCCGTACAGCAGCTCGATGTTGTGTAGCTGCATCCGCAGCCGCGACGATGATGTGTTGGCGGTTGGGTTAGTACGGCCTGGCGCAGTGCGGCGGACGGAATCGTGTTGGGTCCCCAGGCCGATGACCGATGCCAGGCCCCGGAGGAGTCCTGCCCTGGAGCCGGGGGTGGGGGGAGGACAGGGGGGAAGGGGGGGAGGAGGGTGGAGCGGCGGGAATGGAGGGGAGTGAATGGGAGAGAACGGAAAAGGGAGGGAGGAAGAAGGCTGCAGTGGGAAGGGAGGTTAGGGAAGGTAGGAAATAGCAGTCGTGGGCTTCGGGGAGCGGGGAGAGCTCATATGACTTCTCAAACCCCAAAACCCTAAGTCAGGCACGCACACACATCACACGGCACGTTCATCCCGTACATCTGCCCACCCGTCCGCGCCCCCCTCTTGTTTCCCCCCTCGCACAAGCTCCCGATCAAGACCCACACGCCGCCTAGCCCCCCTCACTCTCACTCCCACTATCCGCCCCCCCCCTCCGTCTCCCCCTACCGGGGCCCCCCCTTCCGCTTCTTATCGGGCAAGGCTCCGGGAATACGAGCAGCCATTTGGTTGTTCTTAAGAACTCGGCAATCGATGTTTCGGACATCAGCATGAGTGGGTTGTTTTCAGTTGCATATAAATCCCCTCCCCCTTCCCCTCCC